CTCGCCGCTCGCCGCCTGGCTGTACCGCACTCCTGCAAGACACGCGCGCCGTGAGAGCGCGCACGGGCGGCCCGACGCGCGGAGGGAGCCCGACCCCCCAGCACCCTCCTGCATTGGGGAACCCCCCGGGGCTCCCCCGGCTCCACGGGCTTTGCAATGGGCTGTGCAGCGAGCGTGCAGGGGTCAGCGGTGTCACCGCGGGCTCTGTGCTTGGCAAGGGGGCAACAGGCTTTGGCAGGGAGCGATGCTGCCGTTTGCACCATTCCCACCATTCATGCACAATCTGGCATGTGCTGCAGCACCCGGGCAGCCTCGGGCTGCAGGACAGCTCCTAGGCATCCTGCATCCCTAGGTGTCCCACAGCCCTCGGCAGCTCCTGGACATCCCGCATTGCTGGGGCATCCCAAGGTATCCCACATCCCCGGGGCACCTGCTCCGCAGAGCTCCCCACCTCCATGGGCCCTTCCAGCACCAACCCCTGCTCCTTCCTCACACCCTTTCCAAACACATGATTAGTAAATTCCCCCAGGAAGACGGAAGAGCAACAGACACAGTTTGGATCCACCCTGAGCACAGCTCTTCACTATAAATATATTGAATTTGGCCTCACGCTGATAACCCGATGATCAGCTGTGTGTCATAGAAAGGCATCCAGAGATCACCAATAATTAACAGAGGGGAAAAAAATAAAAAAACACCCACTGGGAACAAAAGCGCCTTTACGGGGCTGCGGAGTCACCCATCCCGGGCGCTGAGCTCACATCCCCTTCCCAGAGCTCTGTGCCAGGCCAACATCGGGCACTCTGCACAGCACAGAAAGGTGGTGCCATCACCGGAGTCTTGTCATCAGTAGGTACAAGTGCAAACATGGGACTCGAACGTTGCTCGAGTCCAATGCAAGCTACAGACTGTGCAACCATGAGGGGTCTAAGCACTATGACAAGTGTGTCAGGATGTGACTGCCTGCTAAGACAAGGACTGTTCAGTCTCTTTTGGACTCACTGAAGCTTTCAGCAAGAGAAAAAAAAAAAATCAATTTCTGGACCCCAACTCCCCTGCACCATTGGAGGATGCCTCTGATCCATGGGCAAGGACTCATGGAACAAAGAAACCATCTCTAAAAACATCAAAGTTTTAAAAGATGATTTTCAAGCTTTCCTCTGCAATCCCAGCCTGCTTCTTGCCAAGGGAAGAACTGCCCCTGGTTTCCAGATAATCCCAAGGCAAGAAGTCCCACAAACTCCGGATGGAGGCCCAGCACCAAGGCAGGGGCCGTTGGAAGGCGCCGGGGCCGGCGGCGGTGCCGATGCCCCGCCGGAGCGGCCGCTCTTCGCGCGGTTGCCGCATGGGTCGCCGCAGAGCTTTACGACCCGGCCCGAGTTCACGGTTTATGGGCGCCCGGGGCAGACGCTATTGAGGCCGCGGCGCCGGCAGCCCCGGCCCCGCTCTGAGCGGCCGCAGCTGGAGGCGGCTCCGGCGCCGAGACCCCCAACCCGGGCACCGACCTGCTCCCGAATATCCCGGAACGGCCCCACCGGAGCTGCGCGCTTTGAGGCTTTTGGGTTTTCTCCCCTGCAGTTACAACCGTAATGTAAAAGTCTTTTTATAGGACCTGGCTATTGCAGCCCTGGCCGCGCAGCCCCCAGCCCTTTCCTGTTTTTCCGCCTCTCCAGATCAGGATGCCAAGGCAGTCGGCCCGGCAGCTCCCAGCGCTGCAGCCCTGCCGGAGCCACGGGCTGGCCGGAGCACATGGCACCAGCTTTGGCACTGGCTGTGCTGCACCGATGTCCCCAAGACAGCTTCTGGGGCCTCGTGGTGTCCTCCACTGGGAAGCAAATCCTATGGGAAACATATCCCCCCAGCAGTCTCTCCACACTCTGTTCACCCTACAGACCACCTGCACCCTCTTCTACTCCTGTGCTGCAAGAAAGCATGGAAAGACAGACAGAAAAATCCCTTCCTTTGCATTCTGCCTCAAAATCTCTGGATTTGAGTCCTGTTTCCTTGGGAGGCAAAGCAATGAGGCAGCTTGGACCTCCCTGCTTTCAAATTATGTCCAGCCAAAATGCCGCAAGCTTGGTATTTTTTAACCTATTCCCCATGTAGCACAACCACCATCCACCCTGTGCCAAGAGCAGGGACATCCCAGCAGGACATGGGGGACATGGCACATGCCAGACCCAGTGTCCCGGTCACCCCACCACTCGCTGGTGATGCCCAGCACGACCAGGATGCTGCAGCAGCTCAGGGGACACAGCCCTTGGGGCAGGGTGACCGACCCCTGTGACCCTTCCAAAACCCAGGGCCAAAACACAACTTTTTGGGGCTGCCACTCAAGTTGTCCCTAAAGCGTTAACCTTGCTGAGTTATGGAGGGGCACGGTTTATACCCATTATAAACCTGTTTATTGGGACTGGACCCTCCCATTCTGCCGCTGCCATAAAGCCCTAATTACCCCCATAAACACCGCAGCAGCCTCCCCGCGCGCCCGCGGCCGCACAATGGGCACGGCACTAAAACGGCACAGCTGCCGGCCGGGCACCGCCGCGGCACCGGCACCGCTGCAGCCAGGGCTTCGCAAAGGGCCATTAAAAAAATGGGGAAAAATACTCAAATTGCCCTCTCCACTCAGGAAACATCCAGGCTTAGATCTGAGTTATTCTTATATATAGGTCTACACTTGCAGCTATGCTTAAAAATATACCAGTGGTGTACATTCATATTTATGAAAGCATCACCTCGGCTTGAGGATGCTCATGCAAGCATAGACAGATGCACATTATTTTGCCGCACTTATATGCACAGTTCTATTGCATTACACATGATTACATTGTGTATATATGCAGGAGCATCCTAAAGGACACGGGGCGCGAGCCGGGGCGGCGAGGCCTTTGTATGCGCCCCCAGCCCGGCTCCGCGCCCCTTAATCCCATCAGCGGCCGATTGTCTGGGGGCGGCCGAGATAAGGAGGGCAGCAGCCGCGGCCACGCAGGGACCCGGCACGGGAGATAACGCCCAGCCTGACCTTCAAATCAAACAGGGAGCCGGGAGGGCTGATAACGCCCTGCAGGGAGGGAAAAGTCCAGAGCACAGGGGAGCCTCCGGAAGAGGCTCCCAGGTATCGGCCTCCGGGAGCAGAAAGGGTTAAAAACCCCATAGCGAGGGTCCCGAGAGCGGGCAGCGGGAAGCGCAGCCGCGCTCCCGGCATCCCTTCCCTCTGCTTGCAAGATGCCATCGGCTCCTTTGCGGATGGGAGCCACGCGCATCTGGACCCCGGTGTCATTGAGACGTTGCAGCGTTTAGCACCGCGGGTGCAAGGGGCAAGGACAGTTCAAATGCCAGCACAGGCCGTGGTGGAGCCGAGCGCGG